GTATATACAAACTTCCTGAATTCCCCAGAGTGACAGTTCTGATAAAGCCTGCAGAATAGCATACAATTCAGCTTGAATTACAGAGAAAATCTGATTAGTTCTACCTCCAATATATTTTAAGCATGATAGATTTTTTGAGAAAAAAACAACACCATAGGTGTATAGAGAATCTGCGATTTTTCCTGCATCAGTAAACACAATAAGATCCAAATTTTGGGATATTCTAAGGGAAACTTTATCCATTGAGTATTGGCTTGAGGGATCATTAATATTGGAATGATAATGTGACTATAAGCAAGAATTATTAATTTGGACCTATAGATTGGTAGGTCGCATTAATTTGTTTTTAAAAATCTTTTCATTCCTAGCATACCAAATGTAGTAAGAAGCTGTAACTATCCAGTTAAAAATATTCATGAATAAAGAGCAATCTACAGTTTGATTATAGAGAGTTTTAATATAGAAAATCCAGGATCCCTAAAATATAGATTGGAAATGAATAATCCAAGGGTTGGCAAAAAGGATTGCTTGTGTATAAGTGCAATTCATGGATAAGTGATTTAAAGTTTCAGCTTCTAGATCACAGAGGGAGTGGGTTTTGTGTTGATTATCTTGAAAGATCTTATCTTTTATAGGAATGAAATTATTAAGAATTCTCCAAAACAAAAGTTGAAAACGGGGTGCACTTTTGAGTTTCCAAAGCTTTTTAATGTAGAAGCTGAGATCTGGGTCTATAGGTGTACCAGATATTCCTTGGTTCTTCTTGTAATCTTCCTTTACTGTAAATTTGCGTGAACTATGTTGGCACCAGATCCAGGAAGTGGGAAAAATGGGGGTATTCAAAATCTTTGTTGCTTCGTCAGTAGAAAATAAAGAGATAATAACATTTCGATTCCATTAACCATTCTGAATAAGATGGTTGGTGTTCAAGTTTTTAAGCTGGGGAGCTAAATGAAGAGATATCCAGTAAAATTGATTGTGCATTTGAATCCAAGGTCGTTGAGAAATTGGAAAGTCGGAGTCTTCCTTAATTAAAGACCCACATTTAGAAGCAAGGTAAATAAGAGTTGGGGCGACTGATTTCTAAAAAAGGGAACTTGAAGTCGTGATAAAATGGGGAAACAAAGCATGGTTTTTTAGGTATTTTGATTTCCAAAGTTGAGCCCATAAATTGTTTTGTTCATTCAGAAACCTCGATGTTGTTTTCTTGAGTAAAGCTTTATTTGTTAATTGGAGATTTCTGAAACCTAAACCTCCCGCAACTTTAGGTAACATGAGGACATTCAAAGCACACCAATGGAATGGGTGAGGTTTTGATTTAGTAGTTCCCCACTAGAAATTCTTAATCATTCTATCTATCTGGTCAATATTTTTATGGGGGAATTTAATTAAGGTCATGGCATGGAGGGGAATAGATTGTAAGACAGACTGAGTTAATACTTTTTTCCCAGTCTAACTAATAGTTGAGGCTCTCAACGAGTTAAGCTTGCTTGCATGTTGTCTAAGATAAAAGTTAATTTGGAATGTTTATTCCTAGACCAGAAGAGTGGGAGCCATAGATATTTACAATTCTTATGCAAAGGTTTTATTTCCAGTTGTCTCCTAATTATACGTTGGAGTCTGGGATGAATATTTTGGCTACAAAAAATTCCCGATTCATCCATGTTTATCATTTGTCTTGAAGCAATTTGGAATTTGTTTAGGACTTGGATGAGATTATCTATTTCTTCTCTATGAGCTCTTATGAAAATCATGACATCATCCACAAAGAAGAGGTGAGAGATTTTGGGGGATGACTAGGAAATGGGAATACCTTGGAGTTTCCCTTCTTGCTCAGGTTGATGAAGAAGTCTAGACAGACCCTTCATTTCTAAAATGAATAGATAAGGAGATAATGAATCTCCTTGTCTCAAACCCCTAGTGGGGTGAAAATGACCTTCAGAAATCCCATTTATGAGGACTAAAAAGGAGACAGTTGAAATACATTCTCTTATTAGAAGACAAAAGTGAGGTGAGAAACCTAGAAGATAAAGAATTTGAAGGAGGAAAGGCCATTCTAGTCTATCATAGGCTTTGGACATATCTAGTTCGAGACTTACATAGCCTTTTCCTTGTTTTTTGTGCTTTAAGAAATGAAACATCTCCTGGGTGTTAATTGAGTTGTCAGACATTTGTCTTTCAGGTATAAAAGCTGCTTGGTTTGGGGAGATACACTTGTCCAAAATTTAACGAAGTCTACCAATTATCACTTTAGCAATTATTTTGTAGGTGACATTACAAAGGCTGATAGGTCTATAATCTTGGACTTTAGAGCAGTCTATCTTTTTTGGGATAAGACATGAATGTCTGGTTCAACCTTTTCAGGAGTTTTCTATTTTGGAAAAATTCTTATACCAATAATACTAAATTTGGCCCCATTAAGTCCCAAAAATCCTTAAACAGTATTGTTGGCATATCATCAGGACCAGGGGATTTTAGACTCCCATTACTAAAAAGGGCTACTTTTACTTCATCAGTAGAAGGAATATCAGTAAGCATTTGATTCTCTTCCTACGTGATAATTGGGTTAAAACAATTGGATATACTTCTAACTCTTCATGAGTTTGGGAGGAGTAAAGGTTCGAGAAATAATCCATAAAAATTCTAGTGATGTCTTCATGCTCAGTTTTCCAATTGTTTTGGTCATCTTTAATTCCTTCAATATAATTTCTCTTCCTTCTGAAAAGAATACTTTTGTGGAAAAAAATTGTGTTTTTATCTCCCAATTGCAGCCAAGTTTGGCGAGAAGTTTGTCTCCACTTGTAAGATCTGATCTTCCAATTTTGTATTTTTTTTCGTGGTTCAACAAAGTAAGAATTTCTCCAATTGATTAAACTTCTTTTTAAAGCATCCAGTTTTTTAGTTATTTGATATGTTGCATGGTCATTAACTGAAAGTTGCCAACCATCTTCTATGATCTATTTACAAGAAGTCTCTGAAAGCCACATTGAACCTAAACGGTTTTGGGAGGTTACAAATTGTAGGATTAAGGTTGAGAATGAGAGGATGATGATCCGATCCCCATTTAGAACCTAGAGAGAGGGTTGCATTAGGAAAAAGAGGTAGCCAATCAGAAGAAGCGACTGCCCTATCAAGAGTTCTTTGAATATGACCTATGGTTCTTTTATTAGTCCATGATATTCCTCCTCCCTGAATATTCAATTCTAAAAGATTATGCTCTATTATCATATTTCTATATTGCCTAGAGGATAAAGTAGAGGTATTACAGGAGGTTGAAGGTTCTAGAGAATTAACAGAGGCGGTCTCATTGAAGCCCCCGATTAATAAATAGGGTAGAGAGATTTGTTGCAATTTTGAATTCAGATCTAGCCAAAAACTATTTTGACAATGTTTAACAGCAGGTCCATAGATGAAAGCTAGTAACCAATTATAGGTGGGTAAATGAATCTTGAGAAATACGTACCTTGGAGTTGATGATTCTACAATGACCTAAAAACCTGCTTTCCACATGACAACTAAACCATCTGCTCTTCCTTCAGGATTAATAGTAATATAGTTAGGATAACGAAACTTATTTGTTAAGACATCTATCTTGTACCCTGGGATTTTTGTCTCACATAAAAAGATAAAATCGGGGTTGACTCATTGGACAAAATCCCTTAACCCCTGAACTGCCTTAGGGCGACCTGCCCCACAGCAGTTCCAACTGAGGATAATCATTGCGAAAGGTGGGGCTGATAAGGGCCAACCACCTCTGATAAGGACATAGAAAAAAGAAGGTAAGCATATACTTACAGAATGTTGATCCTCTGCAACTACACTGGGATCATTGTGAACTACGTGATGGATGGAGACAATACGTTCCTCTTGTACAATTGTGCTTGAAGATTCAGGCCTATCATAAATAAGTAAGTCTAGGGACAGATGATCAGGTTGCATATTCGATAAAAGACCAATTCTAGGCCTTTTTCCTCTAGTTGAAGAAGAGGGACTGAGAGTATCTTCGAAAAGGCGATTTACTAGATCCTGAGCAGAAGCCGCCAGATGGAAAGTTTCAGTTGAGACTCGAAGAGGAGGGGGTGCCGAATTCGAAGCTACCAACAGGTTTGAGGAAACCAGTGGGACTAGGGGAGAGTTTTGATTAGACTGAACCTGGTGATTAGATGAGAACGTGGTTGCTTCATTGCAAAGGTTTTCAAAGGATAACGGGGTGGTTGCATTGAGATTAACAAAATCACCAAAGTTGGGGCGTCTCCATATCCGCCGCAAAGCCTATTCAGCTCTCAACCAGGGGCATGGATTATTCATGGGGCATTGATTAAAATATTGATCAAAGGCCTGAAGTGTCTAGGAAAGGTTGAGAACACCGATGGAAAAGATGGCCGACTTTTCCACACAAGTAGCATGTCCAAGGGAGATCTTCATATCAATAAGTGATCCAGTTATGGATACTTACGAATAAACCAGTCTAAAGAGGACGATCCATCCAATATATTTAAAACCTATACTATTAATAAAGAGAAATTGCTTAAACATCACCTCCTCTAAACATTTTAACATTATTGTTGATCCCTTTATTAGAATCTTCTAAAAAGGGCCACGAAAATATCCAAAATATTAAAAATGTTTATTTTCAAAATTTTTGCTTCATATAATGATACCCAAAAGCTTTCAATCTCTTTTTTAAAATAATTAATTTATTTTTCAAATTTTTCCCTTCATATCAATTTGCAGTTGTTGACATTTTTATGCCTCTTGTTGGAGATTCTAACAGGTGTCTAATTCCAATTTTGTTTTGTTAAAAAGTTCGGGATAGGTATAAGCAATTTACCTTATTAATAAAGTTGGTTTAAAACCTAAAATTAAAGAATCAAATGCGGATCTAAAGTCCAATTCAAAACTTTTTGTTTGCAGCACTAGGGGCCGGTTTGAGGGAATGGCCATTCCTGCCAATGGATTTTGATTCTAATTCGATTTCAAAGATTTTGATTCCAATTCGATTGCAACCAAACGGACCATGAATGGTTTTTTTTGACAAATTAGGAATATATGGTTGAATAACATTTGAATCAAAGGGTTTCGATTATTTCCTGGACGATGATGTAGAGTTGTGCTTTATGAATTTGAAATCCACGATGTGGTTTCGATAGCTGCCGACAAGCTATAGCACTTTTTACTAGAAACAAGTTCATTTGGAACGACGCTGTTTTGCCCTTAATCCAACTGTTCGCTGTTTCTGTGTGTAGGCAGAGACTTATCAATTCAGCTGTATATTTGTATCCAAGACAGACCGATTATGAAAAACCTCACTGTGAGGAGTTAAATCAAGCTGTTCACTGATTTACTGCTCATGAAGGACTGGCATACTTGGAATCTGATGCCGCTTCTGGAGTTTGGAAAGAAAATCTTCATCTTCTTTCCTCGAGTATAGAATCTTCAGAAGGGCTTGTCGACCCAAAAATCCAAAATGATTTTTTTTTTTTATTTTTTTCATCAGCCATCCAATGATCCAATCATCCAAATAAAGATATTGAGAACCGAACTGATAAAACATAAGCCGGACCACAGCCCATAGGGATTCTTCTTATTCAGAAGTTCTGATTGAGAAATAAGCACTAAATCACAACCTCTTTTTTCTTTCCCATGGACCTGGCCAAACAAATCCCATTACGTCTCCGGCACAATCAGGTTATCAACTCACTGCCGATAACACCCCCTCTCTTCCCCTAAAAAACTAAGAAAAACCAGAAAAACAAGTCACGACCCATTTGAAAATAGTTTTGAAAGATGTTAGGATACAGTAGACAAAGAAATTAGAGTTGAAATAAGAGAGATATACGAGCATCTGAATGCAAAAGGCGCATGGGAGTACGGCAAATGCCAGAATCTCAACTCGCAACTACTGTTTCTCTGTCGACAACGCAAAGGGCTGAAAACGCTATCTTTGATTCACGAATCGCATCAGTGACGCTCACTTATTGCTTTTCCTTTCACCCAACAACATCAAAACGAACAAAAAAAAAGACAAAAGAGATAATCCATGGAGTTCTGAAGAAGAAGACGAATCAAAGAAGCTAACGAAAAACACTGGAGGGATAAGCTCGCAACAAACCAGTGAACCCACGGGGCACACCCGCGTAAGCCTGAAAAGACCGACGAAGAAATTGGGTCTGTGGAAGGAAAGGGTTTATAACCTTTTGTATATATGCCGGAGAGTGGAGACAGGACACTGGAGTGGAGGCTTACGTTATATGGATGCCCTAGAAGTGATGAAATTCCTAGTAAGCCTCCGTTTTTTGTTGCATTTACGAAAATACCACTCATGTAGTACCTAGCCTATTACTAGGGTAATATAGCTTTGGTCAGGGTTCAAGCCTCAAGGCAATCAAAGATTCGTTTTAAAGTGGACAAGGAGAAACAGTTTGTTTGTCCCTTCATCTTGGGCCTTGTAATGTGTAATGAATGCTCTTGGGGGACGGAGTCAAAAAATCTACAGGGTTCAATCATCGAACACAAGTGTTCCGCCAAGTTGAAGTTGGAGGCTGACGTGGTAAGATGGGTCTGATTAGCCACGTGTACAAGGCCCGCCAACATTTCGGCCTCCTTACAAGTGATACTAATGGGCAGGGCGAGGAAGAGTAGATTCTTACATATTTGTATTTACATTGTTTTTAAATTGAGCCCTTCTAATTCATTACCGCTCGTTCAAAAGTATAATTTCCATCTTATTTTCTCGAAATATTAAAGTTTATGTTAATTTCATGTGGAATGGGTGGCAGGGCTCCATCGACCCCATGTGCTTGTTGTTTCTTCTTCTCATCTCTTTTATTAGGGCCTGTTTGATGTGTATTTTTGTGTGATTTTTTGGCTGTTTATAAGTTAGGAAGATAGATTTTTGGTCTGTTTTTTTTGGCTCCTGGAAGATCTATTCGTCAAAAAATAGTGTTGAAAAAGACACAAGAAGCCCATTTTGGGCTGATTTCGAGAAGCTTCAAATGAAGATGATGAAGGAAGATTTGGCCCGATCTCTTGACCACCCAACATGTGGAAACAACAGAGGGTGGCCTGACAGAAGTAACAGCTCGGCACGGCGGTACGCTCAAGGTGCGAGCTCCGAGAGGAGGAACTAGCGGTCAGAGCTCCCCAAAAGGAGCCCGAACTCTCCCTTTGACCCCGAGCCTTACGAGGAGCGCAAAGGGCAACAACCCGAACTGGCCCACCCCAGGGCAGTTCGGACCACACCTCTATCCGAACTCAAGACTTCACCTCGCACACCACTCCAGCACTTCGTCTCCAGGCCGCCGAACTGAACAACCGTATCTGACACCAAGGGAGTCCGTATCTTGAGGCGGCGCACCTGACTGATTTAGGATCTAACGCTTGACAGCCGCACTTCAACGGCCACCTGCCACCGCCACCTCCGGTCACAGAGACGACTCCGACAAAGAGAGCAGTGGCAGTTGTCTGCCCCAGCAGAGGTGATGACACCCGAATTGGYAGAAGTGCAGAGGTAATGATACCCGACCTGATAGGAGCTTGGGAGTGAGTGCGCGAAGTGGTTATAAACGACTCTCTTCCCCCCAAGAACGAGGTATGTGATAACTTTGCGCCATCTGGTTTTTTATTTTGCCTTTGAGGAAATACTAACTTGAGCTTCGGAGCACTCTCACCGGGTTCTAGTCTGGAGATTACTCGCTTTCTTCTCCGTTTTAGGCACCTTTTGCTCCAGCCAGAGGCAAGATCATTGACAGCTAGGACCGGCCGGATTGCACTCCATCAATTGGCGCCGTCTATGGGAACACGCTTCTAAAAGCCTCCCTCTAAAACTCTCATAACCCCTTTTTTCTAAGACACCCCAACACTCATGGCTTCTTCCAGCAATGCCGGACGTAGCACGGAGATGAACGCCACCGGGGAACAACTTCAAGTCCCCGTGGTGTGCATCGGACAGTTCACCATCTCTCTTCCGGTGGATGGGATCCCCAGCCTGAATGCGCCATGAACAGTGGCACCCATGAATCTTCTCGCCATGAACGTCCCCCTTCCTCTCCCTGTTGAGACAACCTTTACCAAGCCAACTGTTGTCCCCCTAGCGACTGGCCAAAACCAGTTTGATGACTTGATGCAGTGCATGTGGGCAATGCAAGCCCAAATGCAGCAGTTCCACCCAGGCACCCCGCTTCAAAACCGATTAAGCCCTCCCCTCAGGGCGGACGCCTTCACCGAGGAGAAGCATCCCAACTTCAGAACCCCTCCAAGAGCCAGGCCTCATCCCCGGGCCGGAGGGAAAGAAAAA